ACCCATTCATCTGCTGATGAACATTTGGGTTGTCTCTGCCTTTTGGCTATCGTGAATAATACTGCTATGAACATTTGTGTACAAGTTTCTGTTTGAATACCTGTTTTCAATTCTTTGGGGTGTATCCCTAGGAGTGGTATTGGTGGGCCATCAGATAACTCTATGATTAACTTTTGAGGAACCACTAAACTCTTTTCCAGAGCAGCTGCACCATTTTACACGCCCACCAGCACTGTGGGAGGGTCCCTATTTCTCCACATCACTTTCCATCTTTTTGATTCTAGCCATCCCAGCGGATGTAAAAGGGTAGCTCATCATGACCCCCTAGGGTTGTGTACCAAGCACTTCCTGTGTGCTAGGCACTATGGGGCAGGTGCAATTGTGAGCAAGATAGATCCTGCCCATGGTCTCAATTGCCCGTGAGTCCAGGCATTCGTTGTGCACCAAAAATAATGGTAATGAAAGAGAAGCCAGCCTTTTCCTAGAGTATTTTAGGTCTGTGCATGATGTAGTTATCAGCATTGCCCATGTTACTGGGTTTTGATGCCCCTTTTTTCAGCAGTTAATTATAGGGACCTTGATATCCTCTTACAGTGAGCTTACAAGACCTATTTTAATTGGCTTCTGCTGCCACAAAGATACCTTTGAGTGACACCTCACTAATGGCCACTGACCCTGCACATCCCAGTACATGACCTGGTTAGTACTGCCCGGTTGTTTCAGGTTGTACAACTTTAGAAGACAAGCCTGTGTCACCACTGGTGAAGGCCATGCCTGGGAAAGATTGATTAAAATCTGTGCAATTTGCCAGTTGCCTAGAGCACAGAGAGCCATTCCCTTGAATGCACCTGAACCTTGCTCAGGAAAGCACTAAGCTGTCTGAGGCTGGTCAGAGGCCACTCGCCAGGTCCCAGTGGTCAGCTGGAAATTGAGCATCTCCTTAAGGAGTAGGTGCCTGCCCATTATCCCCAGATACTGGAGCAAAAATCAGTTTGCTTGCCCCATGATCCTAAAAGTTTAAATGGCCTGATATTTCCAGGGAATCTCATGAGAGACACACAGAGGACAGTGAGGAGACACCACTGGATGTACTGCCCTCACCTACCATCTCCTCAGTCAGAATGCTTGCAGGCCAATGAAAGCAACCAGGTTCCAGTGACCACTGCCAAGACCAAACCTTGACTTTTCTCACTAGCCTCTTCCCAACTGAATATAACTGCATTAAGTCCACATGGTCCTAATAGAGGCTCCCTATCTCTGCACTCTGGAAGTCAGAGAGAGGGAAGATTCAATGGAGGGTGAGCCCTGAAGCTCCAGGATCAGCAAGGCAAGTTTGACCCTGACTCTCGGAAGTATTAGCTGAGTTCCCTTGAAGATGCTACGTTGCCTCTCTGAACCTTGGTTTCCTCTCGTTTTTACAGTTAGCCCCACTGCTGTGAAATAGGTCATCTAATGTAAGGATGACCAAAGGGTCAGGAGGGTTTAGAGAGAACAGTTCATTTTGATGAGTTTACACCAGAAGGTTTACTAGAAGATGAGGGCTCTGAGAAGGACCTTGATGGATGAAAAGGGATTCTCCAAACAGAGGAGGTGGAAAGGACCAGCATAATGAGGCACAGAACCATGCAAGCACTTGGCATACTCACATACTGCAGTGCAAGTGAAGTGATGCCATGCTGGGGAGTCAGGGCTGTCTACAGAGAAGCAGCACCACCTGATGTCATTATGAATAGACCTGAGTTCTTTTTTTTTTTTTTTTAAGATTTTATTTATTTATTCATGAAAGACACGGGGTGGGGGGGGGGGAGGCAGACACAGGCAGAGGGAGAAGCAGGCTCCATGCAGGGAGCCTGATGTGGGACTTGCTCCTGGGACTCCATTTAGCCCTGGGCCAAAGGCAGGTGCTAAACTGCTGAGCCACCCACGGATCCCCTTATTTTTTTTTTAAGATTTTATTTATTTATTCATGGGAGACAGAGAGAGAGAGAGAATAGACCTGAGAGTTCAAGTCCAAGCTTAGAGACTGAACTCTTATGTCTCATTTGCTTTTTCTGTACAACAGGGATCATGATATTTTGAGACCCAACTGAGATAAGACACTGAAGATGCCCAGCTTAATACTCGATGCCTAATAAATGGTGATTAGGTACTATGTGCAGTTATGACTGTGGTTGTGGTGTTGTGACAATTTGTAACTTAGGCCCCAAGGAGTCATTAAAGGCTCATGTCCTGATTCAGAAAAGTTAAGATTAAAAAATCCTACACCACTGGGGCACCTGACTGGCTCTGTCAGTGGAGTGTGTGACTCTTGATCTCAGGGTTGTGAGTTCAAGGTCCACACTAGGTGTAGAGGTTGCTTAAAAATAAAATCTTAAAACAAAAAAAAGAAGAGAGAGAGAAAGAAATCACACACCATAGATAGTAGTGTGGCAATTAACTATTTTAGGTGCTCAACACATAATGTGGTTGGTTATTAATTGAAAAAGGTCAGCGAGCACCGAGGAATGGGGTTCAATTTTGTAGTCCCTCACCCTAAAGGTTCTCACCTACAGGAATTGTAAATATGGGCCCATATTGCCCTCATTCGCCTAGTAAGAGAAAAATTTGTATTTTCCTTGATGTAAGTTTTTGATGGCTTCTCATATTTCAATCTCCTATCAGCTAGAGAAGTACAAAAAGCATGTGAGTCTGAACTACTGCCCTCAGTCCAGAAAAAAACATATTGAATATCTCAGATAATAGATTCTTTGGTCTGGGACGGAAGAAGAGGGGATAAAGGGATAGGCTCAAAGCACAGAAGGATCTGAGTAAGATGAACAGGAACTTTTTCTTAAGAATCTCATAAGAAATTGACCTCAGGCCACGTAACTTCAGATCTGAAGGAGACTTTAGAGATTATATAAGATGAGTCCCTGTATTTACTTTTATTTATTTCAAAGGAAAGAAAATTAATGCCACAAATACATTTTCAGAGTGCATACATTTCATTACTTTCATATTCAAAACTTCCTTTTGGGCTAAATGTTATTCCATTTTACAAATGAAGAAACAAACTTGAGGGCATGGATGCTATCCATAAACGGAGTGGTTTATAAACAGCAGAAAGTTGTTTCTCATAGTACTGGAGCCTGAGACGGCCAAGATCAGGTGCTAGCAGATGCTATGTCTGCTGAGGGCTTGCTTCCTAGAGGACCAGCTGTCTTTTTGCTGAAACATCACATGGTGGAGGGGGCAAGAAACCCCTTTTCGGATTCCCTTTTTATAAGGACACTAGTCTCATTCACGAGGGCTTAGCTTGCCTGACCTAATCACCTCCCAAAGGCCTCACTTCCTAATACAATCACCTTAGAGAGAGGTTTTAACATATGAATTGGGGGCGGGGACACATTTAGTTTTCTGCATTCTGCCCCAGGCCCCCCAAAACTCATGTGCTTGTCACATGCAAAATCTGTTTCATTCCATCTCAATAGATTCAAACTCATTCCAGAATCAACCTAAAAATCTAAAGTCCAGGGATCCCTGGGTGGCGCAGCGGTTTAGCGCCTGCCTTTGGCCCAGGGCGCAATCCTGGAGACCCAGGATCAAATCCCATGTCGGGCTCCCGGTGCATGGAGCCTGCTTCTCCCTCTGCCTATGTCTCTGCCTCTCTCTCTCTTTCTCTCTCTGTGACTATCATAAATAAATAAAAAAATTAAAAAAAAATCTAAAGTCCAAAGTCTTATCTAAATTGAGGCTGATGTGGAGCACTTGGGCAGCTCAGTCGGTGACTCTTGGTTTCAGCTCCAGCTGTGTTCTCATGGGTCCTGGGATTGAGCTGCCTGTCAGGCTCTGTGCTTAGCCGCGAGACCGCTGGAAGATTCTCACCCTCTGCCCTTACCCCTGCGTGCAGTCTATCTCAAAATAAATCTTTTAAAAAATAAATGAATGAATTGAGGGTGAAAGTATGACTCATTCTGAGCCAAATTGCTCTCTAGCCATGAACCTCTAAAATCAGACATGTCTTTCCAAAATGCAGTGGTGGGACAGGGATAGGGCCGACATTCCCATTCTAACAGGGAGAAATAGCAATGACAAAAGGAATGACAGGTAGGTCCCGAGCAAGCTCAAAACTTTAAGACTAAAGAATAATCTCAGGCTGTATATTTTGCCTTCCAGACCCACTGGGGCAGAGGTCCTGCCTCCTAGGCACACTAAGACAGATGTGAGTCACTTCATTCACCACCTAGAAATTTACAGCAGCCCTGGTCTTCTATTTTATAAAAAATGGTTAGCAAATGTTGAGAGCCTCCGGAAGGTTACTTAGTATGGGTTGGAGATTTAAGTAATTCAGGTCTTAAATTTCTGCATGAGAGATTCTTGTGATTCTCTTAAAGGAGACAAAGATCTCTGGAGGTCTTGGGAGGCCATCCCTGGCCTCCCTTGATGCAGCCTCCATGCACTGTCAGGCGGAGATCCCTGACCAACCAGAGTAGAGCTGCTTACACCCTGTATATGAATGCAACTCAGCATCCCGCCTGGGCTCCGATGCCTACAGTTGTTCCTGTCCAGGAAGCCATCCTCTGCTTTGCCTACTGCTTGTTGCTCTTATTCATGTGGCTGGAATAGTTACTCTAAAGTCCAATGAGAACATTTCTGAAACCCTTGTGGGGGTGAAAAGTTTTTAAAACTCTCGACAGTGTATACTGATTGACTTAAAAACAGAAAAAAAAAAAAAAAACAGAGATGTGGAAGAGAACTTTCAGGACGGTTAACAAAAGCAAGTTTCATCTTCTGGTTTCTCACTCTCTCCCCGCTCCACCCCTCTACCCGGGAGGAACCCCAGATGGTTATCACTCAAAAGTGTAACTAGGGAAACCACAAACCTGCCCCAATCGCTATGGAGACAGCCTTTTATTTGTTTGGCCTCTGAGTATTCCCGACATCAGCCTGGAGGCCGGGTAAAACCCGGGTGCTTCTTACAAAGATATTTTCATTCCCAGTGAGGAAAGTTGAGAACGCACCTTAGGATATCTCAGCAGCTTTCAGGGCTCCTCCCAGCCTCAGCCTGGCTGTAGCTATAGGTGTGCCTGTAAAAAGGACAGCCCATATTACAGGAGACACGGTAAGGAGCCTCTTAGAGTTGACATAACTAACTGAAGGCCGAGTTTGTGAATGAGCACACATTACGGTTTAGGAACACTGGTGAAGAAATGATGTGCAGAGTATATCTGTTTCCCATTGAATCAGCACTCCCCCCCCCCCCCCCCCGCCCCGGGGGTCTTAGTGGGGAACAGCTACTGCAGTTTGCCAGGACTGATGAGTTCCCCAGAATGGGTCTCAGAAGTTTCAGTGCTCAAATGGGGAAAGTTCCAAGACAAACCTTGGCAAGTTGGACATCCTACGTATGAAGCGCATTGGTCCCTAATGTCAGGTTGACACAAGGATGGAATTGAGACAAGCCTCAAAGCATGAGAGCACATTCTGCAACAAGAACCAAACTTCTTTGGTCCCGTGGTCTAAAAGTTGCTGTGAAACGAACAAAACTCTCATCGTGAATACACAGATAATGATGTGTTCTCATTTGATTTGCTTTTTGTTTATTTGGTTGGTGTTTTGTTGTTGTTTTATCTATCAAGAAATGCTAGAAATTGGTTTCAAATTGATACTTGTCCAAATTAAATGAGAGCTCAGCTTCTTTCTAGCAACTATCCTTCATGCTAAATTGGTTTGCAGGGATTTTCCCCCTGCATTTTCAGCACAAATTCATTTGCCAAATCCCCAACAAACCGGAAACTATGTAAACAGAGAAGTGGAGTTATTGATATTTCCCAGTGATGTGTAAAACACCCCTTTATTCTCCAAGGTCTGGCGTGCTTCTTTGGTGCTAATCCATCATCTTTGTTTGCATTATTGCAGAGCTTGGTTTCAGGAGCATCTACTGGAGTGGATGCAGTTATGCTCCTGCTGAGAAGTTGCATATGTTGAACAGCAATATGATACATACTTAATAAAAGGTATTATGCTAGCTAGCCATGTGGCAAAGTATGCATAAGGTTACTTGTGGAAATGGATTCATGCTCCAAATTTTAACTAAGTTCTAAGCAGGATGTTCTGATCAGAGAGCTTAATTAACCTAGGATTCTGTCCTTTACAAAATAGGTTCGGTTGGTTGAAGTCTTTGGAATACTAACAATCATTTAATTATCTAAATATATTTGTAAATAGGACTAGATATGGGCACATTAAGTTTCAGAGGTCAGCAGTCACATTAGCTATTTTATAATATGCATTTGCAGTTACATGCATACAATAGGGAGGTGTTATATGTAATTATTATGTAGGAAAAATAGGCATAAAGTTGTCAGTTCTATAGACAGGAATCTTTGTGGATATATAAATAATTCATGGATCGGTAAACATATCAATATGCATGTATTCTTGGGTCTGGTGGACAAGTGTACCAAATGTGCAAAATAATAGATTCACCTTTTTGTTCATTTGAGAAGTTTTAATGTGGAATTACAGTAGCTCCTTAATGATGAGAAGTAGTGACAATTCATTAGCAGACTGTGACTTAGATCAAGTTTTTGATTTGCCTACAAAGTGTGGCCAGTACTCAATTATATGGAGTGTATGCATTTCTTTTGAATATATTTTTCCCCTTTGCCAGTTAAAATAACCTTGAGCTTTTTTTTCTTTTGAAGACCCCAGCCAGCAGCAGACAAATACTTCTATCTATAATTTGTTCTTCAATAATGATTTTTTAGAATGTTAAACCGTCATAAAAAAAAAACCAAACAACTTCCAGAAGCACTACTAGGTGTCTTGTTTTCTGCTTAAAGGACAATTGAATAATGGGAAGAAAAGAAAGAGCATTCATGGGCTACTTCATGTTTTGTCTTCTGGCTTGTTTTAAGAAAGAAGGGATTCCCCGGGTTGTTGTTTTTTTAATAGTTGCAACATTCTGCTTCTCCTCAGTATGGAAAAACAAGCACATTTCAACTATGTATATGTAGGAACATATATACTTCATCAGAAACAAATTTAAATTGGCTTAGTTTTTAGAATTCTCTTATATCTCCTAAAATAATTGAAATGTAAAAACCACAGGTGCCGTCGTCTTCCAAAAATTTTCAAAGGATGCCTTATACTTCATTCCATATCCTAGGTACCTAATACACTGTGAACATCTACTAACACTCATTTGCTCTTACAGGTTAATTAATTGTTGGATTCCGAGACCATAGGCTTGCTTTGAATTTCTAGTAAGGCTTCCCTGTGAATTTCATGCAGAAGTCCTGCTACTTACTGTGCGCATTGTGTGTAGACAGTTTTGCTCGGAAATTAGCAAACTGTTTCGTTCTAAAGAGCGCTGAACCTTAGCCACTTCTCCCATTTAGCATGAGAACTGCAGTAACTCTAGCTGCAGTCCTGGAGCAAACGCTAGTGGCTGGATTTGGGGCCCGGAGGAAGAACAATGCCCTTAGGCTCAGTTTAACCATCTGAGGGCGGAGGTGCTGGGGTCCCCCAGAACATCTGGATGAGAAGTAAACATCTGGATGGATGTGCCTTGGTATGTAGACCCTATATCTAAATGACTAGTTGGGAATTCTTTTCTCCAGAAGCCTGTTTCTGGAGATTTTTATCTTCCAGGTATTTTTTTCCTCATGGGGACTCCAAAGCATTATGGAAATCATGAAATTTTCTTTCTTCCTATGTTGTTGTTGTGCGGGTGGTGGTGGTGGTGGTGGTTAGGAGATAGGTAGATGGCTCTTAATATTGTGATCAGGTGTTTTAAGCCCCTTTTAAAGGATTTAGATATGCTTCCTTAAGTTTTTGAACTGCGAAAATATTTCTTTCCTGCTTCAATTATGAAATTTGAAATTGTGATTGAGAGAGATGAATTGTGATAATATTATGCTTACAAATGGGAATTCTTACAAAAGCACTATCTCCCTGTCTGCCGTTGGTGAAGATTATTTTAAGTCCTCACTCACGCTGGCTTTCCTTTCTGACTTGTTTATATTCTCGGAGAATAAAAATACAGTAGTCAGAAAGCTCCTCTCAGGGAGTCCGCATTTAGTTCTTGTCGGAGGAGTCCTTTCTAAATGGACTCTGGTATCATTTTAGCACACATTGTTTGGTGAAATCTGAACTGCCCAGGGAAATTAGAGCAGTTAATTTAATATCATGAATGTTTTGGGGCTTCTAGGCTTAGTCACAGGCGGGAGAGTGTAAGTCAAATTGAGTTTTCTGTATAAAGTAGACGACAATGAAAGTCGTCTCCAAAAAACAACCAAATTTCCCTCCATCCCCTGCCTTCCCACTCCTCATCTTCACCCTGGGCCCACAGAAATCTCATGTTATTCCAAGCATGCTCTCCAAATACTCCCTCACTGGAGGTCTGGGGGGCAGAAAGTTCCCCATGTAGCCATGTAGCTCTCCATGTAGCTACATCTCTATTCCTTGTTAGTTGAGCTGTAGGGTCACAGCCAGGACAGCGTAGCTCATGGCTTAGAGCCTTCTTTCTGCCAGGTGGTTTGAACCCAGCCCTGCCATACCTTCAGTAGAAGGACTCACTCTCAACCATGCATGGCCAGCTGGGAAGTCCTCAGCACTGTGCTAGGCACCAGGGCTGATCACTTTGTATGGTAAGTAAAAATGGATTCGATATCAGTGTCAAATACACCTCTTACTGCCATGGAAAAAAAAGAGAAAGAACACTATCAGGCACCCTAAGACTGCTAAGTTCTTTGGGCCCCTATATCCAAAGATCCTTTTACACATATGTGCTTCCTGAGTAACAGAGTATGGAGTAAGTGATGGGCTTTTTGATTTGTTTTTGAGACAGTCTTTGAAAGAGTCCTTTCAAAGTTGCAAAACGGACCTTTGACCCGAGAACTTAGAGCACAGTTCAGCGGCCTCCATCAACCCGCAGAAGCAAAATGCTAAGTCAAAGGCTTTGGCCTTAGCTCCAGAAGGTTCTCTATGTGCTTAGTAGTGCTCCACTCTTAACACCTGCGAAGAAATGCTGGGCTTGTGTTTATTTTGCACTCCCCACCCGGTGCCTGGGGACTAACTTTTGTGTGTCTGAGATGTAATCTTGAAAGAAAAAGAAACCTTGTCTGAAGCAAGTATGTATTTACTTTGCTTTAGGGGCTTAGCTTATTTGCATGAAATATCAGGATGGATTGCAGACAATTAATGACCTTTTATGAACACTCTGATGCTCAGTGCCATAAAGATATTAATAGCTGGGCAGTGAAGTAATTCTCAGGTTTTCATTTGCCTGACACAATCCTCCTAGGCCTTATACCCCCGTAGACTTCCTTAATGAACAATATGTATGGGAAATGACTGATGACCAAGGCTGGGATACTGTTTATCTATGTAGAGTAAAAAGAGACAGTCTTGGTTATAATAAATGTATAGCACATTTCTGCATAAATATTTGAAATTTTGATACATTTCATACATTCTAAAATAGTCTATAGTGGTGCATGGGTGGCTCAGTGGTTGAACGTCTGCCTTTGGCTCAGGTTGTGATCCCACTGTCCTGGGATCCCTGCGGGGAGCCTGCTTCTCCCTCTGCCTATCTCTTTGCCTCTCTCCGGGTGTCTCTCATGAATAAATAAATAAAATCTTTAAAGAAAACAAAATATGAAAATACACCCACAGAGATACTGCTTATTTTACAGCTCAGTTTTTGCCATTACTAATAAATGACTAGGTGTCAACTTGGGCCATCCAGTGAACCTGGTTAAACAACACGAAACTGATCACATAGGAGACCTCTGCTTTTAGCCTTACAGCGACCAAGCCCTTCCACTGTCCCCTCCACTCCAGTATCCCCCCCGCAGGACTCTCGGATGGAAGGGTGAACGTGGACTTTGTTATTCATCTTTTGCATATCTTTTCTCCCCCACCCTTTTAATCTCCTTTCATCACTTAATTCTTTACCTTCTTTCATTCTTTACCTTCTTTCTATGAATTTCTCTTCTCCTCCTGCAAATTGCATTCTTTCCATATAACATTCCGTACATTTAGAAGTATCCTGTTTTCTCATGCTCGAAAAGAAAAAAGAACAGAAAGCATCTCACAAATCTAGCAAATAAATAATATTCTAATAGCAAGGACCTCTCTGAAATGTCTGCCCAAAAGCAGATGCACCACAAACTGCCATCTCTACACACTACCCCAGACTTCTCAATTTGATGATTTAGTTACTTTTTCTACTTAGGTGGATGGGGCCATTTTTGCCGAATTCAGCATATTTATTGAACAATTTCTTGGAGCCAAAAGCCAACTCCACTGCATTTCTGCTTGGTAAGGTTTGGTGGCCTTGATGTGGGGCAGGGGCTGTTGATTCATTGGCCCTTAAACTGATGATAAATCTAGAAACTGGGCAGCAGTACTAGGCTGCTATAATAGAACCTTTGTTGGGAGTCAGCGGCCCCAGTACTTACAGGAAATCTTGGGAAAAGACATTCAGCAAACTCATGTTAAGAAAGACTCCGGAAGAATTCCGGGTAGCAAGAGTGCTGCGATTTCACCTGAGCGGGCGTGAGCAAGAACTTTGAAAACTAGCTATAGAAGTTGTCCACCTAAAGAGTGCCGCCTTCTTCTTGATATACCCATTTATCATTTATTTTTAAATCCTAAATGTCTAAATTTTGTATCGGGAGCATTTATTGAGATGACTCAGTTACCCGATATCGTGGCAAAGCCCCTCTGTTAATGACACTCAGCATCAGTCTAATTGTACGTGTTTCATTCATGGGTGTTTAAGGAATCCTAGATCTATCTAGTTTCTCGATGATAACAGTATTTTAATTTTAATTCCGCCTTCCTGCAGCAGAATGTAAAATCCTCCATGAGGGTTACCGAACGAATCATTGACACATCTTTTGCACAGAGTTGTTGGGATAGATTAGTACGAGTCCCAAATGAAAATTCCAGCATCAGGAAATCCCTTCAGCAGGGAGGGGCTGCTGAGAGGGGCTGATTTTCTCTGAGACAAAAGAAAAAAAAAAAAAAAAGAAGAAGTCGGTAAGAGTTTCTCAGTATAGCCATACTTCTTTCGGCTGTTTCCCCCCAAATACCATGGTGTGTTCCACACACAAAATATAATAGACAATCTGGTGCTAGTAAAATTTTCTGTATTTTAGAAATCAAATGGCTGATATATAATGTGAGATTTGAGTTGGAGGGTGGTTATTGACTTATACATCAGACCTATTTTGATTTAGAGATAATGATATATATTTGTTATCCTTCTACTGAAATACCTCAGTCCCCAACTAGAATGCATATTAGTCAAGGCATCCTTTTAAAAGACATTATTTTCGTGCTCATAAGATGGAAAGGGAAATTAAAAAAAGGAGTCCTGAAATAGGTGCATTTAATTCTCCCCAATTTAAATTTAAGTGGTACATCTTTAAGGCAATAACAATATTCTTTTTCTTCCCCCATCAGGAACGCTTCCATCAATGGATTTCTTTAATGTTGATGATGGTTGGTGCAGTTTGAGGGGCTCTGTAGTTAGTCAGAAAATGCTTCAATAGAATGACCTACCAGATGGGCCCCATAACAAAGCACGGAGGCATCAAACCACCACAGACATTTGGTGCTTAGAATAATAAAAAGACTATAAAATTAGATTAGTTGAGTCTAATTTGGAATTGGTATATTCCCCATGCACCCTCGCTGCTCTTGGGCAGATAAAGCCTTGAGATTTAGCACTGTGTCAGAGCAGAAGACTGCAACTTCCAGTAAAGGGAGACAGGGAGAGGGAGAGAGGGGAAAAAAGCATTCTGGGAGGTCGTGGAGGGCAGAGCAGTGACCTCCAATGATTTACAGGCCTTTAGCTTAATGAAATTGTTTCAGTGACATGACGGTAAGAGCTCGTAATGGATTGGATGCCCTAATGTAATGAAATTACTCCCTTCTGCCTAAAAAAAAAAAAAAAAAAAAAAAATGCGCAATTAATATTTACTGAGACCTGACAGCCTTTGGTGCGCTCGTCTGTGTAGTTCTCTCAGACAGTCAGAGAGCAGAGACGGAGCAGCGTGGCAGACAGGCTGGCTCTGCGCGAGCTCCTGGCGGGGACGAGCAGAGCCTGCCAGGGGTGGAGGGACAGGCGCTCGGGTGGCCGGGGACGCCCGGCCCGGGCCGCCCGGCTCCTCGGCGCTGCCCCCACTCAGCCTTCATGCCCTCCCCTTGCTTTTCCACAGGCAGCTGGACAACAACCACATCAACTGCATTGAAGATGGAGCCTTCCGAGCGCTGCGCGACTTGGAGATCCTGTGAGTTGATTTTGCGACCGCTGCCTTGTGTGCGTGTGCGTGTGCGTGTGTGTGTCCGTGCGAGGAGGAGAGAGGGGGAGTGTGTGTGCAGGGGGGGTCCGTGTGGATGCATTTCTGTGTCTTCTGCTGCAGTGCTATTAAACTGGGAACCGGGAGATCCCTCCGGCTCACCTTGGCCAAAGTGTTTGCAGGCAGCAAAGTGTGATTTCCTACCTCCCACAAACTGGGGTTCCTGCTAATTGAGTCTCAATCGAGTCCTTTCTCCCCGGTGCTCCCGCAGTGTTTGTTGCTGGGTGGAACAGATGGGCGGAATAGCCCCCCAGCGCCTGCCAGAGCATTCAGGGAGAGTCTGTTTGAGTGTGGGCATGGGAAGAGACAGGTTACAGGTCTGGGAGATGCGAGAGGGGATAGCACCAAGGGGTCTGTTGGAATCACCCAGTATCACAAAAGGACCTTGGCACGGGGCTGGGGGGGATGCCAAACAGCCTGGTAAAGTCTAGTCATTGCCATTGCTCCGAGGATCTCGCGTCGGGTTTAAATCCAAACTTTAAGCAGTAACCCTTAGAGTGGCAGGTGGGGAAGAGATGAGAGGAGGTGGAGTCCCATGCTCTATACCTTATTTAGGGGGAAAAAAATGTAGCTGCCGCTCTGTGTTCTGGATTTACCAGTGGGTCTAACATGGTTTCCAAGGGTGGGTTGGGGGGTCGAATTCAGCTAGGGAATCATCTTGGGGTTATTCAAACTAAAGTTGAATTGTGTAAGGAAACATTTTGATTGTTGTCCTCCAAAGCGACACGTCCAGCTATCCCTGATTTGGAGAAACCTAGAAAGGGGGGGCAATAAAGCCTAGTAGAACTTGTGTCAGGAGATGTGTGGTTCAGTCCCGACTCAGCCCCTAATTGGCTGTGTGACCTTGGGCAAGTCCCTTCGCCACTCAGAGTCTCAGCTTTCCCATTTGGAAAAGGAAGGGTTTGTTGCTGTACCTTGGGGATGACTTCCCCTTTCCAAATTCTGTAATGGCTTGGATCTAAAAATAGTTCTGATGGTACAGTTCTATCCAGTGAATGATAGGCTAGGATTGGTTGAGCATACCCCTGAAAATAAAAAAACTATCTAGTCACCAGATTACCTATCTCTGACTTCCAAAGGAATGAATAAATGTCGAACAAATGAATGAATGAATGGATGTGGAAAAATATCCCTTTCTACATGAAGGTCCTCCTCCCACCTTCCTATTCACCTGCCCCCGCAGACAGTGGGCACGGGTTGGAGAAAGCCTTTCCACGTTGTGCGAGAGGAAGGTGATTCCAAGAGGAATCACGGGAAATAAAAGGGGCTGCTGATGCTGCAAGGTGCCGGAAATCTGATGAAAGCCGCGAATTCCCGGGACAGAAACAGCAGGACCCACGGCCAGGGAGGTCAGGTTGTCAGTCCTAAGATGGATGGCGGCTCCTCACCCAAACTCTGACCCCAGAACCGGCAACAAATGAACGTCTGCTAGGGAGAGGATGCCAGCCCAATTTAGTGATCTTGGACTTCTCTTATCAGGAGACCAGGGCTGAGAAGGGTAGGCACAATTTTCCCAGCTTGCAAAAAAAGCATTCTGGAGAGGGCTGCTAGGAGCACGTCACCCTTTTCTTGAGGAGGATGAGAAAATTCTCTGGGAAGAGACCAGGAAATGGAAATCACCAGCTGCCACGAAACAGCTGTGACGACCTGACAGCCAGCATGCTAGAGATCTGTAGTAGGAGTGGTGGTGCCTCGTCTCACCAGGAGGGCTGTCTGGGGGAAAAGATAGGGCTGTGCAGTCAGACACACCTGGGCGTGGGGGCCTGGGCACAGTGTGACTTTGGCCAAGCTGCACAACCTCTCTGAGTCTGTTTCCTCAACTTTAAGAGGAGATGGCTTCTGTACCACAAAGGAGGGGCTTTCTAAATGCTGTCCTTTCCACTCCCCTGACTTTCTCCCCATCATGCCCTCATCCCCATCAAACCCCTGTCTGGGACAGAACTGGACTATTCTTCTCTGCTCCATTGTGTGCTGTTTTAAAAACGTTGGCATATTATAACATGTTGGTACACCAGGTTTCTCACACTTGAAGCTTAAAAACCTATGGGGGGCGGGGAGAAAAGTAGTTCTAGTTCCCTATTATTACAAAGAGACCACAGGATCTGATTAGTTTATCTTCTCAATTCCAAACAAAGCCAGATCAATAGCTTTGTTTTAAAGACGCTCTCATTTGGCTTCACATGGCTAAGTACTTAAAATTAATCATCATCATTTATTCCATGGGTTTTTAATTTCCAGCAGAGGCACACGGCTTTGGAACCATCTATCTTAATGGTGAGCCGTTCTGAAATTGGCTGGAGCTGACATCTCCATTTAAAGAATCTCCCCTCCCCATCCCCAGACCTTCCAAATCTCATCTGCACATTGACATTTTATAACAATTCTCTGTAATCACAACTTAGGCACCATAAAGAATCTTGACAATGAAATAATAAATAGGAACTGAGTGAAGGCATCCTATATTAATAAGTGCCTGAGAGAGAGGTGTTCAAAACACGCCATCCCCAGAAAGGTCACCTTTAAGTATCTAAAGCCTTAAAAGTCTGCAAATTAAGAAGACAAAGTATAGTATTGCCAGTGCGTTTTCTCTCTGATATTAGGCAGATGAAATAAAAAATGAGGAAAGACTCATGATCACCTCCATGGAAAGCTCTCTCAAAATTAACTTAAGGAAAGTTTGTGGATGTCAACTACTAGTGGAAATATTTCACACGGGATCCCCCTGTTGTTCCATCCTTTCTGTGGAAGGAACTGCTGTAAAACTTCTTCCCATCCAGGCTGAGGTTTGTCCCCTAGGATACACTGAATAGAGACTGAGAGGGGAGCTCCTGGTGAGAACTCCTGGTGGTAAAGCCAGAGGAATGGGTACCGGGCCGGAAAAGGCTATGACATCTGCTCACTTCATCCTCATTTTTGGCTCATGCCCAGTGGGGATTGTCTAGCAGAGAATATGGTGAACAAAGGAAGAGAGCCACCACCCTCCTCCCCTTCACAGGTCTCCAGAAAAGGGACTAAGAAAAAAAACATAGTGTGGGTCACACTTCTCAAGAGCCCAGTGCTACCACAGGGGAAGATGCATGACACAGATGATACTGTCTTTGTAGCATCTGTTGTGCGGTTACCTGTGCCTGACAGTGGATATGGCGCTTGGACACACCTTCTCCCTCTGCATCCTCACAGCCCAGCCCTCCTTCTGCAGAAGACCCATCTGAAAGAAGCCAAGTGGCTGCTTAACTAGTAAGCAGCAGAGCCTGTGTGATTAACCATTCTACCAAGCTGCTTTCCCGATGTGTGTTGCCGAGGCTCTTGTGGTATTGGCTCCCCTGAAGCATGGCCAGCGTGTGCCACAGAGGACCATGAACCGGCCCCTGAGAGCTGGGCTAGGTGAGCTGTGGGTGATTCACAGTCCTGCCCAGGAGAATGCTGGAGCCTCCCATGTGCTTGTGAAATCATCATTTCCTCTCCCCAGCTATTGGGTCCCCACAAAGCTGAAGGTCAATCAAACTTGTTGGTGGAAGAAAATAGTCCTGCTTTTTTACTGACTTACATTCTAGTCCCAGAGACGATTGATTCTCACTTCTAGACCTCCACCAGTGGCCTTTGTCACTCAGTGTTTGGGTGCTCCGTTCTGGATACCTTCCCACAATACAACCCCAGCTTTCTGTATGGCCTTAAGGTTCTTAACTGGGAGTTTCTATGACTCAGACAGCCTTCTGTCGCCCACATCCTTGGCCTTTCATTCCCACCTGTTCTGTACATTTGGTGATTCACATACTCAGTCTTCTCCAAGTTCTGCTTATACTGCAGTCAAATATGCCAAGACTGCGTTTCTGACCCCATGTGGTCAGGAATCATTCGTCGCGCTGCTCTGAGCTATGGGTTTCCTGGCCAGTTAGGCTGATGACAGCCAGGCATTTTGCCAGTTATACCAGGCACCTCCTTGCTCGACATGCTGTCCTAGGTCAGAAAATGTTTAATGAAAAAAAAAAAAATTAGGAGCATGGGCAAATGAAACAAAAATGAGAAAATCTAATTAATAAAATAATTTTTTTCAATAGTATTGCAGGAGAGGAAAAAAGATGTTCAGACACTGTCTCCTGACAACATGTAACAAATCAGAAGTTCAGTAGATACGCTGCCAAAAATGCCAGACCAACAATGTCAGGAGCACAGCCTAAAAATGCTCACATAACCCAGTGAGCCGCCTGCCCTTGATAAATCACTGGTACCAGCTAAATTACACGCAGGTCCAGTACATCTGCAGAAAACCACTGTGTGTATTGTTTTGAAAGTCTCTCTCCATTAATGTCACTTGCCAGTTTTGGAATTTCAGTGACATTAGTATAGGCTGGGCCTCTAAGGACCTTTAGTTGTTTCCAGGATGACCTCTTATTTTGAGATAAGGCACAGTGAGACTGAGAAGCAGGCAAGAGTGAGGCCCAGGCCACGTACCATTTGGCACCCAGGTACCTCTCTTCCCTACCTTTGTCTGGGCTCTGGTTAAGAGAAGGGAAAAACAGCAAGTTGGTGTCAGCAAGGGGACTCAAACCTGACCCCATGGACCCCTGATCCCATGTTCGTTGCTCACATCGGACACCTTCATGCAACTAGGCTGTCTGAAAAAAAAAAAAGCCCTCAGTTAGATTGGGGATCCCAAGCACAGCTGTCCTTTCAAAGCCATTATTAAGTGTTTTATATTATTTAGGAGAGCTGGGGAGGAGCGCAAACTTGACAGAATCAAGGAACCATCCTGCTTTCTGCTCTCCTGAAACTAGACGTTACAAACTAGATAGACCACAGACCACATTGCACCCACAGTTGAGTTTTTTTTTTTTCCAAGCCTGTGGAGTATTTTTTAAGGTTAGCATTCATATTTTACAATCATAAAATTTTTCATAAAGGTACAGATGCCCAGCTTTGGATTTCTGGCAAACCAAAAGCCTTGGCAACCCTAGGCTGCATTTCTGCCTTGTGACAGTCAGTTATGGCTGAAGAGCATATTTCCTCCTTCAATGGGATGCATAGACTCCACCGTCCCACCTACCTCCATTCATTTCCACTACCTGCCAGCCCAGGTGGCCCCCCACTATTAATCCATCCAGGAAGCAGGGACACATTGTGTGCCACCGTGGTGTCGGGTGCCAGAGATAGTAAAGCTTTAGAAGAGCATGTTCTCTGGCCTATCAAACTCTAGAGGCCAGAGCTTACCAGAATTGTTGAATGGAAATGTATAAGCAGGGCCAAGTGATAAAGAGGTCAGGATTCTCAAACTGAGCCAGGATGCCACAGAAGCAAGCAAGAATCTCTTGTGCCCCATCTTCTGGAAAGTTCTTCTCAAGAGTTGAACTAGCCTCCAAATTCCCTTTGATTTTAAAGCAGTTGTCATTGGGTCTATGCAACTGATGAGAAATGAGATAAAACACCCCCCCCACCCAGTTTCATGTACCCTGGACCCCCTTCATCATCCCATGTACTGAGGTCCTTCTTAGCCCACATTTAGAGAAGAGAGATTCAAGAGTTAAAACAGTGGTGGGTGGGAACTGACCAGACTTTTAGGATAGATATTCAACAATGTCTGGGCAGATACAAAAGGCCTGACCCCAAGCCCCACTTATAGACACAGAAGAATGGAGAAGAAAGCCCTTTGCTAGTGTAAGAAGAAGGCAATGACAGGAAATTGACAATAGCCCTGATACCTAGATCAGGGTGTGCTCACTCCTCTAGCACGGGGTTGTTGACTTGGCTGAAGGGTGCTGGGCATTGGGTGTAAGGACATTCATAGACCTTGTTAGCCCATTACAGAAAACCCAGAAGGTCTGTCGTTTGCTTCAACTGAGCTTCTTCCAAATGTGGAACTAGATGCCCTGATTAACAAATAGTAATTAACAACATGTAATACAATGATATTATAACAATTATTAGTATAGTCACCATTACTGTTACAGCCTCCATTTCTTAGTGTCTGCTGTCTTCCAGGGACTATGACAAGAAACTAGAATGTAGTGTTTCATGTAAATCCTCACCACAACCTTACAAAGTAGAACCTCTTTTTTTAATTAATTAATTTATTAATTTATGATAGTCACACAGAGAGAGAGAGACAGAGACACAAGCAGAGGGAGAAGCAGGCTCCATGCACTGGGAGCCCGACGTGGGATCCGATCCCGGGTCTCCAGGATCGCGCCCTGGGCCAAAGGCAGGCACTAAACCGCTGCGCCACCCAGGGATCCCCAAAGTAGAACCTCTTTTTTTTTTTTTTTTTTTATTTATGATAGTCACAGAGAGAGAGAGAGAGAGAGAGGCAGAGACACAGGCAGAGGGAGAAGCAGGCTCCATGCACCGGGAGCCCGACGTGGGATTCGATCCCGGGTCTCCAGGATCGCGCCCTGGGCCAAAGGCAGGCGCCAAACCGCTGCGCCACCCAGGGATCCCAAAGTAGAACCTCTTAATCTCATTTTTCTAAAGAGGAAACCGAGGCTCAGAGATGCGGAATGACTTGCCCAAAGTGCCACTGGCAAGTACTAGGGCCTATTCTTCAAGTAGCAAATCCAGCTCTGTCTGATATTTGAGCCCCAGGGCTTCACTGCTCTGCTACAAAAAGAAAGAAGAAAGGAAAGAAAGAAAGAAAGAAAGAAAGAAAGAAAGAAAGAAAGAAAGAAAGAAAGAAAGAAAGAAAGAAAGAAAGAAAGAAAGAAAGAAAGAAAGAAAGAAAGAAGAAAGGAAGGAAGGAAGGAAGGAAGGAAGGAAGGAAGGAAGGAAGGAAGGAAGGAAGAAGGAAGAAAGAAAAAAGAAAAGAATTCTGGAAGCACACATAGCAAAGAAACAATTATGTACATTAGTAAGATCATGGGCTGTGGTAAATGCCACAGTGATTCAGGAATGATAGTTTTTCTTTTTGAAAAGTTGACCTGCAGGGTCCTCAGATCTAAACCTATGACCTCACCTTAATCAGCAGTAGATCCAATTCCACAGAACCTGGAAGTATAAGCCCACAGACCTTGGGAATGTTCGAGTCCAACCATAGGACTGGCTGCCAGTCCAGCTTCACCAAACCAGGTGGTTTGGGGTTCATTTCCTCACTGAAAAATAGAGGCAGTAATACCAACCCCTTAGGCAAGTATGTGGATTAAAGGAGGTACCATAGGTGTGTGTCTAGCAAATAGCAGACACCCAACCAGGACACTTGCCACCACCAAGGTGAAGGACATGTCTAATACTGCTTCACTGCCTTATCTCCAGAACCTTACACAAACCTGGAATGTAGGTAGTCATTTAAAGTACAAGGAAATGGGGCGCCTGGGTGGCTGCCTTCTGCTCAGGTCATGATCCCAGGACCCTGCTCCATGGGGAGCCGGCTTCTACCTCTCCCTCTGTCCCTGCCCCTGCTCATGCTTGCTCTCTCCCTCTCTCAAATGAATAAAATAAATAAATAAATAAATAAATAAATAAATAAATAAATAAATAAATAAATAAATAAAGTACATGGAACCAGATTCAGTTGAAATTAACTAACTGAATGGATGTCTACTCCACACCAGTCTCCAGATTCTCTTTCAGTCCTGAACAGAACTAAGGTTGTGATTGCCCCAGAATTATTTTAAATGCTGAATGATGTAGTATTTTACTGAAGCAGCACATTTCTTACACTATCTTTGGTTTTTTGTTTTTGTTTTTTTATTCCTCCAGCTAAATGGCGATATTTTTTTTATTACCAATGAACAAAATTAGAGCCATGGTGAAAAGTGGTGTTTTCTACCAGACAAGACTCGTTTTCATTTATTTACCAGGTGTTTCACCTGGGTTTCTCTGGATGCTGGAAACATTTGTTTCAAGAGAATTTGGAATCAAGGTATCTAGTCACAACATAGCTTTGAATATAGAAATGTCACTGCCTAATGAAAGTCTTAAAATACCTCCAGAATATGATTTTTTTTTTGTTCTACAAATTATGATTTGTTCAGGCAATCAGAATTAAAATTACACTTTGAGGAAGGCACCAGTAACTTCCATTCAGCCCCCAGGATACTAGGAAAGGAACTGGGTTTTCTGTAAATGCTCACGTGGGCCACACAACATACCCCCTTCCTTCATTGTCTCCCAGGCTCAAGGCTCGATCATAGCCATGTCTTTAAAATGACTAGCCTGGTTTTGAGAACATCAGCTTAAGGAAAAAGTGAGATTTCCTTTGAGATATGGAATAATTTTTTTCCATTTAAATAAGCAGCACTTTAACAGTTCAAGTAGGGACCCCTGGGTGGCTCAGTGGTTGAGCATTTGCCTTTGGCTCAGGGCGTGATACTGAATTCCCCAGATCGAGTCCCACATCAGGTTCTTTGCATGGAGCCTGCTTCTCCTCCCTCTGCCTGTGTCTCTGCCTCTCTCTCTGTCTCTCTCATGAATAAATAAAATCTTAAAAACAAAAACAGTTCAATTAGCTAGAATTGAGGTGGGGGAAAGTATTTCAATGGTATCCATTTGATTGTACTTTCCTGTTAACCACAGGCCTGCTTAGTCCCTGAATTGAAAATGCATTGTTGTACATTCCTGGGTTAAGAGGATATGGTGAAAGTCGTTGAGCTGTTCTTGAGCACAGAGGGTCTGTGAATCCATAGGACTCCCATTAGCAACATCTCCTATGAGCACCACTCAGGTGAAATTAGGTAGTGGAAGTCTTACTGTTCACAGGGGCCACAGACTCCAGGCACCAGGTCCCTGGGCTGAAATCCTGACATGACAAACTAGGTTTGGGAGTGGCCTTTTGGTTTGCTTTGTCCCACCTAAGACAAACTAGAAAAATAACTGCATCTTTGAAAAAAGATTCCAGAGTTTCCTCATGGGGGCAAAATGTGGCTGGTGGGAAAATACCACAGAGCTACCAAATGCACACGAGTCAGGTAACTCCTCAAATGGAGCTTCTGCACCAATTTGCAAACGCACTCCTGAGCCAATGGTCAGCCTCTGTCCTTTCTCTATCCCCCGGCAGCCAACAATGTCTTCGGTGACCAATATGTGTACATGCTTAGTGAGTGTCTTGCCCTTGTTCAACTCTTATCTCATGGCTTTCAAGGATCTTCAGGCCAGAGAGCCATGATTCCTTGAAGTGCCCAATCTGCCCCTTGCTCGGCTGCCACTTTCATTCAGGATGCAGAATATTGGCTGGCTCAGCTTACCTGTGGCTGAGAGTCCATTATTCTGCAGACCTGTGTCCTGAAAGCCAAGGTCCTAGGAGCTCAAGGAGGAAATTGACCCCTTCCTACTAGCTGGCTATATGTAGGGGAAGATGGCATGGGGAAGACATGGAGGTGCAGTGCTGGGAAGAATCAGAGCATCATCTCTCCTTTTCTCTGAGCTTCAACTTCCTATCTGTGAAAGTGCTTAGAAACAAGGGATGGTGAAGAGGAAGGCTGGAGGGAGATAGATTCTTTTTCTCCGATATCATATTTGGACTCTTTGGACTCCCAGAAGCCCTAGAGTGCCCATTCCCACTTATAACTAAATCAGAGGACCCTGACTCTTGGCCCATAGTTGATCGAAAACTTCAGATATGGAGTTTGATTTTTTAAACTGTTTTAGTGTTTTTGGTGTTTTAAAAAATTAAAATTAGTTGCCAATGTTTAAAACCCAGGTAATTTTATTTAAAAGTATATAATTTCAACTTCCCTGGAATATCTGGAAGTTGTGGCAACCCTGGGCACCCATGTGGTTCTGATGGTCTAGAGCAGCATTGTCTAATAGGGCTTTCTGTGATGCAGGAAATGCTTCTTATCTGTGCTACCAATATGATAGCCACTAACCACAGTGTGACTCTTGAGCACTTCAAGTGTGGCTCGTACAACCGAGGAACTGAACTTTTATTTAATTCTAATTGATTTAAATTGAAATCACCGCCTTTAGCTCATGGCTACCTTATTGGACATTGCAAGTTTAGAGCTGAGTGGTGACTACCCCATTTGAACAGGAATTGCCCTCTGCAAATTTCCACACCTCCCACCAGGCCTGCTTTCCTGCTTGCTTTGTTCCAAACCACTGGGGCCATTTCACGTTAAGAGGCACATTTAAACAGTGTGTTTTCTGAAGCTAAATACTTTGAGATATCTGCCACTCTCCTCACTCTCCACCCTGCCCTTTCTCTTTCTGAATTTAACCATTTGGATCTTTTACCTGCAAAAGACCCATTTTCATTAAAACCCAGAAGTATGATTATTAAAACCATTTCCCCTCCAAGTGAAACCCTCTCTCTGTGAGAATTAGTTTCCTGGTCCCAATTATTCACTTCTTTCAGCCCTGCAAATCACTTCCACAAAATCAACTGGGTAGGAAAATCACTCCCGTGTCTGGACCCATCCCTTCTCCAGATATAAGCTAGTCAGGGAAGCAAACCCATTAACCCCACAGAAGCTGAAGCTTTATTTTCACAACAAGGAAAAGAAAAAAGAGCCAACCCGGCAAAACTTTTCAAATGCAGTGGGGATTAGTTGTGATTTCCAGATTTTGGCCAAATGTTCCATCTTTATACAAATCTAGACTCCACAACCCCTTTCCACTGCTACCCCCATTCCAGAATAGCCATTTTAGAACCAGCACCAGCCCAGTGGGAATCAGAGAGTGGAACTGTCGCCTGGAAAGACCCTGGAGGCCAACCAGCCCCACCATTTCGTTTGAAAAGAAAGGAATTCCCCCCAGAAGGCTGAATGACTTCTATATAGCCATAGAAATATTTCACAGAAGAACCAAGCCAGAAAACAGCCCATTGGCTCTTTATCCAGTGCTCTGTATCGCTGTCTACCTTTCTCCTGTATTGGCAGAAGGGAAACAAAGAATAGTGAAGCCAGCCTCTGTGCCCTGTCCATCCCATCATCTCTTAATCGTTAGCATTTTTCCAGAGAGAACAGTGCATGTTCTGTATGGGAACCAACACCCTCCCTTTCTAGGGCCTTCTAGTCCTACAGCCAGCCACTGCTTGGGAGACGACCACCCCAATGTTCAGTAGGTTAGCAAGGCAATAGGGAAGAGATTAAATTCTACACCATTGATCCTGGCTACCAGTGGTGACCAAAGGCCTCATAAGGAAGCATCCTGCTCCCCTTAGAGCCCAAGTCACCCAAGTAAACTGAGCCTGGCTCCCTAAGAGAGCCCCTTCCTTGCAAATATCAGAGGGTAGACCCGGATCTTACCAGCATCTCAGCCCAGGAACAGAGAGCTTCATGCACTCTGGGGCTTCATTCTGAACTGTACGTAAGAAATAACTAACAGGTTTAGCCGCCCTGTGTGGAAAGCGGGCAAGAGCAAGCCTGCCTGGTGGGATCCAGTCTTCCCCTTATAAACAGAAATTTTCTCAAGACTCTTTGTCTCCAGGTAATGATAGTTGGAAGGGGAGGGGATTTGAATAATTTTCTATGACTTAAGATAATTCATTTGAATAGTAGGCGGCTGCCCTTGAGGAGATACAGTATAGAAGGAAGGCATTGACCACATTTTACCATTAACATACCATAACAAACCATTTGGTTTTATATATATAATATATATATCTCAATTTTTATACATATCCATATCTCAAAGTATGTTATATATGTGGTATGTTAAATATACATGTTTGGTGTGTATGTGAGACATGTGATATATATGTGATTGATATACATATATTTGATTCAGATTGTTAAACTGATCTTTTTCGTTCAGAGACTAAAAACTGGCATCTGCAAGCCAAATCCAAGTTATTTTTCATTTGTGACTTTTGTTCCTTAAGATGATTCAATCACCAGTATTAAAAAACCAGGAGACTTCACATAAAAATTCTAGATGTCTGGGCTTTCTCTTAAAAAAAAAAAAAAGGAACCACTGGCAGCATTGCACCTACATTCCAGCATAGCAACAAACATTTGAAACGAGAAGTGATGATCTCGGGTGGCAGAGCGGGGTTTACTGCAGACCCCACGCAACCCACTTACTCAGATGTAAAACCTGGCTCCTGTAGGCAATTGAGTTTGTACTCCTAGATCAGCCCAGGCGGCTGTTCAGAGTGGAAATTTATTTTTATGAAAAGATGCCAAAAGCATGACCCTTCACATTTTGAAACTCATCCATCCATGCAGTAAATATTTATTGAGTTATTCTATGTGCCAAATACTGGGCAAGGCCCTGCCTATACAACAGGGTGCAAAACTGGCTTGTTCTCTGTTCTCTCATAGTGTACACATTAGTGGGCATTTAAAAACTGCCCCCTTCTCCCTCACTTATGGGCTGAAATGCAGCTGAGGGGGAAATCATCCATCGCCCCCCCACCTTAACTAGACTCTCACCTGCTCAGTTATGTAAGTTGGAGGTCATTCTTCCATGCTCAGCCTACTGCAGACATCTTGGCACACTGGCAGCTTCCTGATTTCTAAATAATGTAGTAGACAAGATGGATTGTCCAGGTTCCCAGCCTATGGGTGACGAAACAGAATCGGGAGAGGCCACTCATTCATGTTGTTGTTTAAGGTACATTTTTACAATTAAATTGTTCATTGGGAGGCGGTTGAATCATTCTGAATCACCACCAGGCAGTGTCTGTGAGATGATATCAAAAAATGAGTATGGAGTTCTTCAGAATCGAAGGACCTAAAACACTGGAGCATCAGGAATACCTACACTACTGGGCATCTGACGAGCAATGGCAGGATTTGAGGATTCACCTTTCTCTTTTTTTTTTTTTTTAATTTTATTTATTTATGATAGTCACAGAGTGAGAGAGAGAGAGGCAGAGACACAGGCAGAGGGAGAAGCAGGCTCCATGCACCGGGAGCCCGACGTGGGATTCGATCCCGGGTCTCCAGGATCGCGCCCTGGGCCAAAGGCAGGCGCCAAACTGCTGGGCCACCCAGGGATCCCTCACCTTTCTCTTTTGATCTTCCACTTTTTACATTTATTTTGGAGGCATTTTTTTCCTCCTTTTAACACCAAGGCTCTGCCTGGTAGAAGGAGATGAGTTTCTGCCTGTCACAATATGAATATCTAATGAGGGGAGAACCAAAGACAAGCCCTTTTGTTAAGGAATCCGTATCATCAAAGACTCAAATTGGCAGCTGATTGTTTTTATTTATTTCTGTAGGTTTAACATGACACCTGGAGACCATTTAAAATGTTACTTGGCGGTGAGAGCTCTGTGTTTAAAAATAACGCTCACCCAGTTGCCAAATCACTTTAGAGTCGGGTACAAATATTGAGACAAAAACCCCAGCTGTTATTGCTTTGGCTGCTAATTTGAGGTGTCAAATGAGAGCTCGCCTGCTATACGTCAGTGAATAAGGCCCCTTGTGAGATCATTATGTTTTCTAACAGTTGAGAGTAATGGACTAATCAGTGCGGCATCAGTTGGTTTCATTATATGCCCACACAATGGTTATGAGCTTTAATTTAAACGGTCCTCAGGGAGATCAAGGAAGTCAGTAATAGGCGGCACCCAGGATAGTCCTGGAGAGCAGGTAATGTGAGAGAGGCAGCTTCCCACCATCCTTTCCCCTCTCTCCCTCCATCCTTCTCATCCCTCCCATCCCTCCCATCCCTCCTATCCCTCCTACCCCATCTGCCCTCAGACACTCACCACCTGCCCCCAAACAACCCAAACATGAGCTCTGCTTAAGAAGCAGATCTGTGCTCTTGGTGGTGCAGGGTATGCTTAAAAATTCCAACCAACCCATCCAACAGTAAGGGCGGCTTCTGGCAACACTTAGACTTGTTAGTCAAACCTTGACCTCAGAAGGCTCTAAGAACCAATTGCCCTCTCTCCTGTGTAGCCTTTTCCACTGCTCTCTGTCTCTATACTGAGCTCTGTGTTCAGTGGACAAGAGGAGGGTCCAGTGATGCTACTGCCATTGAGCAGCCTAGGCAGAGAGGCAGATACCATAGTCCCCGCCACACGGGAGCCTGGGAGGGCTGAGAGCAACACTAGCCTCTAGGACTCATCTCTGCCTTGGGAAAGACGTGGAAATTGGACAGCCAGCATCTGTCAGACAATCCTGGAAGAGGCAGTTTTGTGAAAGAGTTAAAAAAAAAAATATATTTATATATATATATATATATAGTCCTCTGGTATCCCACTTCCCTATACTTGAATACTGGCTCTGCAACTTTATAGCTGTGGTCAGAGCAGAGTTCATTGATCTTTTGAGGCTCCAAAATGGAAAGGACTACCTCAGGATAATTAGGAGAATTAAATGAGATAATGTGTGAAAAGTGCTCAGCTCAGTGCCAGCCCATAGCTAATACTTAATAATTAGTATCAGTATTGTTATTGCTCTTACATATTTATTAGAAGATCTTGGCAAGCTCACCTTAAAGCAATAGTCTTCACTAGTCTTGCTGATTACAAGGCAGGGAGTTCACGGCAGAACCTATTCAGTTTAGATTTTCTCAAAGGATGCATCATTGTACATTCTTCCTGATTTCTGGAGTTTCCTAGAGCCTTCAGCCAAAGCAAAACTGCAAAGGTGGATGAGAGAGGCCAGTTCAACCTTGATAGGAGGGGCATATTCAGGGGAGTTTCATCCTGAAATGACTGAGTCATTGAGTTGGGGAGAGATTCTGGGCTGGGGGAAAGTCTTCAGGATGCCTCCCTTAACCTCAGTGGGCATTTGGTGTGTGTTCTCCTGCAGCCAGGTCCACAAAGAGACACCACCTACACACATTATAATGGATTGAGCGAACAGCATGCACATTCCCAGGACCTAGGAGCATGAGGAGGGCCTGGTCATCAGCATAGGCCTTGATTCCTGGTGCCATGATGGTCATCGGTCAGCAGCCACCGCACAAGACTGAGATAAACCAGCCCTGCTCTGACATGTAAGACAGAGAGGAGAGAAGGCACCCAAAGCATCCATAGTTTCATTCCTCTCTCCCTGTCTGAGCCAGCAAGAGAGAGAGCCAGAAGTGAGCCCTCAGTCACTCCCTTTGAGGTCCACACACTGCCAGCATCCCCCTTTGCTTTTCATTCCCCATGCCAGCAGTTTAAATATGTCCTACAGGGTCCAGCCACAGTATTTGCACTCAGCCGCTCTTCAGAAAACGCTGCTACCTACTTTGGTTTGTGTCTGCCTCTGCAAATTCAATATAGGCCCTGTTGGAGAAGTTACGTCTTCTGGGCTTAGAGTGCTGGCCACTGGACACTGGTGTCTGTAAGTATAAGTGAGCGCATCTCCAAGCTCACTTTAAAAGGCATTCTGGTGCCATGGCTGCTGATGACTCACCAAGAGTCTCCTTCCTGAAGATTGTTAAGGAGGGAACCACGTTATGTACCTAGACTTAAGGAACAATCAACCTGCTTTGAGACGAGACGAGGGATGAAGAGGCCAATATTCCAAGAGGGTTTATCCGACCCAAGAAGTCTGGATTCCCACAGGTGTGGAGGAGAAGAGAAGGGCTCAGAGAGTGTCCCAGGAAGGCTGGCATACTGGGAGCCTGCAGTGGCACTCACTGTGGATGCCTGGTTTTGCAATTATGTGATACATGCTCACAGATAATATTGCTGCATTAGAGCCAATTACATAGTGTTATGGACACACAACACGCAGATTACACCCAGAGCCAAGAAAGCACAGAGTGATAAAGCGATGGCCTAATCGGAGGAGACAGAGGGAAATGTCAGCCTTATTAAGGTTGCCAGGGTGGTGTGGCTGCAGCTGGACTTAGCTCCTCCAGATCAAAGATGGCTATCTTGAGGGATGTGAGGGAGAGCCACACTTCAGCACTCAGCAGAGGACAGTGGGGAGCCAGGAGCAGGTGCCAAGTTGGAGCTTTCCAAGGGTGATTACAGCTACCCCCATTGAGGGCTGTGTACTATTTCAGAGCTTGGGCCTCTTTCTAGGCAGGAAAACACCATGCCCTCCACAAAAGAGGCTTTCGGTCCCAGAGTCAGGAAGAAGGAGCCTATATACTGTCCTCTACACTTAGGTTAAAGGCTCTATTCTTAGCCTTTTCTCTAGCTCAGTGGTTCTCAAACTTGAGGTTGCATGAGAATCCTGTGGAGGGTTCCTTAAAACACACAAGGCTGAGACCCCCCCTCAGAGCCTCTGATTCAGTGGGTCTGGATGAAGACCCACAGGTGTGGAGGAGACCCACATGTCTAGCAAGTTCCCAGATGATGCTGCAGGTCTAGGGATCACACTTGGAGAACCACTACCCAAGTTCATCTCATACCCAACCCAAGGTAAATTCACCTGCCATGTCATTTGACAGAGTCTTCTCTGTGGCTCTGATTTCATCATAGCATTATAGGTTCTGGAAGCAGTGGAACCGTGATA